TTAACCCACATCTTCATCCACAAACACCATACCACTGTGACTCCATCCACGGGTCACTCTCCAATCACGGGCTATATACCCAATTAACCCTTCTGATAACATCCTCTCGAGTTCACCCGACAGTAGACCGAAATCTATACTACGCACAAAATTTTAAATGGGTAATACCCATGAAATTCCACACATTCGGCAAGTAAAACAGTTCTCGCCCCAATATTGCCTTGGCTAGGACACGCACCCCTCGGTGGTTCTTTCAAATTTTGAAAACATGGCTCCTCAGCCCTCATCTTTCCCAAATAGTGTCACACGCCTAATACCAAAAAAATTTTTTTATGGTTTTACAGCAACTGTATACATTAATAAAACTTCAGAGCTACAACATGCTCCATTTCACCCATTCCAGGGAAATTAACAAACAAAGCATATATGTATATATATGGATAAACAAACAGTTTAGACGTTTCAACATTCCCAAAACACATTGGTTACACAACGGAACCCAATGATCACAAAACAATAATTCACCGATTACAAAATGGATTAGCCAAAATGAAACCAACCCCTCGGTATTAACACCACTGTCGTCCCTCGCTGGACCGCCAAAATTGGTCATCTCCAAACACAAGACAACCTACGAGCTTACTAACCACGGACAAGAACTACCGACGTGCCCCCTCTGTCCACACCTGGAACAACTACAAACTTCCCCAACTGGGGCTTGGGAACTCGACTCTACTGAGGCCCTCGCAATCTGGCCTGCTAGTCCCCTAAAACGACACTGTTCCTGCCCAGTCGAATGAAACTGAGCCTGGCTAGGTTGCAAAACCCCTAAAGAAGCCCCCGGCTGAGTACAGAAACGTCGAATATGACCCGGCTGATTACACATCCAACAAGTAGGCGGTGCCTGAGTACGAGACTGGTTCAGAATCTGGGCTGATGAAGGCCCCAGTGACTGCTTCCCCACTATACGTTCGATTGGCCCAATACCCGGCTGGCTAGAAGATTCTGGTAGTGCAACTACTGGTCGGACTAACAACCCTGCCTTCTTCCTCTGCAGGCAAGCTGGGGACTTGTGGCCCAGCTGGCCACACTTGAAGCAAGTAACAACCTTTCGTTCACCCTTTCTCGAATCTAGACTTGGTACTAGAAAAGTAGAGCTAGACTGAGCTCTCTGAAATTGTAGTGGATTAAAACCCTTCTGCCTCTTACTGGGCCTAGAGTACCTATAAACCGTAGGAGTCCCCACAATGGTTTCCTTCCTAACCTGGCCAACACCCATCACCATGGGCTCCTCCCTATCTTGTCCCATAGCTAACACCGCTGCTTCAACATGAGCAGCCGCCTCAACAAGCACACTATATCTTTTATGCCAAGACCCCGCCATCCTCACACGGATGTCGTCACGCAGCTTACTCTCAAACTCAAAACAGCGCAAGTCCTCCGTCTCCACCAATTCTGGAGCAAACCTCGACAGGTTAGCAAACCATCTTTCGAACCGCACCAAAGGTGTAGTACCTTGGCGTAACTCCACAAACTGTTTCCGCAACTCTTCCCGAGCAGAAGGAGGGAAATCACAACTTCCTCGCCTAGGCATCCTAGTAAAAGTAACAGAGACACGTTAGCACACTCATACATGTGCCGAAGCTAAACTCTCACGTCCTAATACATGGACAACTGCAATTCACTCCACGTAAGCACATAAACACATAAGCACTTACGAATTTCATTTCCGGATAATGATAGTCCCGAGGCATTACTAGAGTTCTGGTTAGAAACAGCATTGATCAAGTACTTTTCCAACTAGACTCCCAGAAACCCAAGGATCTAATCAACATCCTAGAAACTACGTTCCACACCCACATAGTCACATAAGCATGTTATCAATTTAAACACATAGCATATGACACTACTACTAAGTCTCTATCAAGCGAGACAAACCGATTATGATACTAATCACTTCTCACGTACCCAAAGTATTCGAACCCGGTACGCTCTGATACCAAGTTGTAACGCCCTCAAAATAATAACATTAAACCCATCAATATAAACATACATTTATGTACAAAAGATCCATGTTTCCTCAATTCATCAGAGTACTTCATTACAAAAGTATTACACGTTAACAACAAAAGTAAATGCCCTACGGGCTTACAGCTTTCCAATTTAACACTTGGTTACAAAAGAGAGTATTGACTCGGTTACACATTAAGCCCTTGGCTTGAATTTACATGTACTACAACAAAAGGAAAATAAGGCAACAAAAGTAGGTTTGCCCCTAGCCTCCCAAGCTAGGTCCTCAGAAGTGGCATGCTACCTGTACCTGAAAATGATGTTTCCATATAGGGTGAGCCACAGCCCAGCAGAGATATACTAAACCAACTATAAACAATGCCTAAAAGATTAGCAACTGAAAGACGGTCGATACTTACACCTCCATTTACATCTTATTTCAATTCCATGACAACCAAGTCTACGTTACAAGTTACTTTTCATTTCTTGTTCAACTTTGGGTATGAAAACAGGGCTCAGTACTCTGGCCAAAACATTTTGATGAGATTATAGTTCATCACTAGAACATTTTCAAAATTCACGGTGGATACACAGTTTGGTGTTGTATCAATAACACATAAACTACTTCCATACTTCACAAACGATGATGATATACATTTTAGTGCTATATCAAATCAAACAAACCTTTCAATAGATAAGCATATGAGCTAAATCACTCCTCTCTCATTCTAGGATATAAGCTATATCAACATTCCAATAGATAAGCATATCACACATCAACAGACAAGCATATTA